ATTTCTTTGTTTAAATATCTTTCAGTTGGCGTTGAACACATGCGTTAGCTTGGCAATTACATTATCACTCAGATTCTTGAACTGTTCTGCACAAGAGCGTCCTCCCCTTATGCTTTATTGCTTTTGTTGCTGCGATCGCCCGGGTCACTTCTGTAGTGAGGATTGTAAGGTTTCTCTATTTTTTAATAGTTGGTTCCACCATTGTCCTGTTGTCTTGAAACAGTTCCTTTGTATACTGTTCCCAAATTATTATGTTTTTTAGGGTCGATTTCTATTTCGTTGTTTCCGTTTTCTATCAAAGATACATGTTTGGGCTTCCACAGACCTGCGGCCTGTTTAATTGTTTCGTGTAGTTCTCTGTCCTTATGTTGTGCGTGCGGCTCCTCAATTTATTTGCACTTTCATTCATCCATTGCTCCTTTGAATTTTTGATCTGTTTGTTTATTTTTTTTTGTATTTGTAAATGACATACATAATTCAATAAAGCCAGTACCATGGCCTTAACAGGATTTTTATGAATTTCATTTCAATTTAAACTTCTATATGCCTCTAAAAAACACCATTAACTTGTTGATTAATACGTAAAACAACCAAAGTAGTGTAGCCCCTTGTTTTAAAAACGTGTAAATGCTTTTCCATGCTTCCTATTAGTGCTTGTTTCTGTTAAACTCAAAACAGTCTTAATCGTTTCTTATGAGTGTAAACTTCAGTATGACCTAAAGTCTAAGAAATAAGTTCACATTTTCTCTATATTTTTTTTTATCTGTACGTTCTAATTAAGGCTCAGTGACCCCTTAAGAAAAATGACACCAATTTTGAATAACCCTGTGTTTTGAAACTATTTGAGATCCTCGATCGGTCCAGAGATGTTAATAAATTAATGCAGAACTTTACCGTCAATATATAAATAAATTTTATTTCAGGTAGTATTAATTACAGATGGAAGTACTGGTGTGGGTTCTATGTCTTTGAAAGAGTCTCTAGCAACAATGAACCAAAGAAGCAATACAATACCCAGACCCTTTCCATTGCCGTTTCCATTCCCTGTAAAGCTGCACATTGTCTGTATTGCAGGAGCCAATGAGGCGAATGTAGTAAAATGTACGTTATTGTTTTTTCGGGCACTCGTAAATAAATACAGTGGATTGCTTTTAGCAAAGCCACTATTTCAAAAATTGATCGATGTCAGCGGATCTGAAGGTTCCATTCAAATTCCTGAAAATCTGCAGCATGAGGCCAATGTGACCACTCTTTTCCAAAAGTTGGCTGACGACATGTACACGTCCTTTAGAGGTATACTAAAATGTGGCAACTTGGCGTCACGAATAATACTGTCTCCAGCACCAATTGTAAGTACATACGATTATTTACTTAGTATAGACGCCGTCCTATTCAAATCCCTTCTAAAGCTCATTTAGAGAGTACCAGTAAAATTTTTCTTTATTTCTTAGAACTATTAGTTTTTCAATGACTAGTTTCAACATCACAAACAAACATTTACGGCAATTGCTTAAACTTAAGGCCCGTTCAGATTGTGACATCGATGTTGTAAGATCTAATTGCGTCACAGCTTTAAACATTCGATGTCATGGCACTAGGTGTTCACATTCACCAACACAGTGTCGCCACAGGCTCACGGATGTGTTAGAAGAAGTAATTATTTTGGAATTGAGGCAAAAATAAAAAATCTAGTGTGGATGAGGCAGTGGATTATGCGTAAAAACAAACTAGGGGCATCAGAAACTCTACTAAGGGAATTGCAATTTTCTCAACTTATATTTTAATTTTCTGTTTTTCGACGGGACGGTATCTGTATATCATATCAGTGTAGCTTTGGCTTATAAATTTTATTAGCACTTGAGCCAGTCATTGTCGATTTTTTTTTCTTTCCGTAATTTATTGCTATACGTGCAGCGAATAGATCTAATTTTAGCTGTTAACGCTTTCACGTTTTCAAAGTTTTTGTATATCCTTATAATCGGCAATTGATTTATCTCATAGACAAGTATGATTGGTAATATTCCAGAAACGTAATCAAATCAAAAAGGAGCAGGATTTAAAGGCCCATTTATAAACTTGACGTTGACGGTACTGTTGCCGTTTGCGGTGACGATTGCCGTTTGCGCTACAAAAGGCGATTTATAAACTTGCCGTTACCGTTCGCTGTCAGTCGTATTTTTACCCTAAAATATCGCCTGTTGTTATTGAATGTTTTGAATCAGCTGATTTGGTCCGACCAAATACTGAATTCGGATTGGTTGGTACGTCAGTACTACGGCTGTTTTACGAACGTTCACCGGCAAGAAATGAAATTGGTTCATATCGACCGGCACGGAACGCAAACGGTACCGGTGAAGGTAAACGGCAATGTCAAGTTTATAAATGGGCCTTAAAACCAAACCAAATGAAATCATAACGCCAAAGTTCGATAACGTTCAAGAAATGTCAAAATGTCACCGATACATCTGCAATTTTTTTTTATATGTGACACTAACATCAACCCACTATGACATTGAGGCAATTACATACCAATTCGTGACGTGACATTGGATGTCACGACATTAATGTCACCGTGTGAACGAGCTTTTACGGATATTTTCTACTTATTACATGTCTATAAAAATTTTTTTCGGTTTTTAAAGTATTATATCGTATACCAATGTATAACATCCACGAAGTTTATGTGATAGATACTTTACATAGCTTATAACGTATATTTGAGAAACGTACGCACTACGTATTATTAATGATAGGAAACTAGTAAAAGGAATAATTATCACCAAAATCACATAAAAAATCATATCTTTGGCAAGAATATTTGAGACCCTTGCCAATAAGCATTTGTTTCATTAACTTTAGGCCTGGGTAACACTGTGTTGAGTTGCTTTCGAGTTGCTGCCGCTCTCTGAGTTATCATTGGTTTCCAGTATTGTTATAACTCATTTTTTAAAGAGGATTAAACCGTTACGAGACCCGAGTCGGGAATCTTAGCATCTAATAAAAAAGAGGTCATCAACATTTCAACATTTTTTGAGTAACCTTTTACCACTTTGTCCAAACAACTAAAAAATAAAGTCACCCCATTATTTATATGTAACGTTTTCCGAACAACGGAACTGACTTACTGCGCCGAGTTACGCAGGTCTAATTAACATTAACATAATGTTGAAATACTTGTTGCTTTACGCGTAATATTTGTTACATATTTTAGGGGTATACCCATGTAACCGATTTCAGTGTAAGACCATATCATATATCGGATGTATTAGACGTGTACGGTTTTGTCCCAGTGGCTGATATCGGCTCTCCAATGGCCATAAGCCGTCATCTCATTCTGCCCACTAATTCCTCACGAACATCGGTAGCAAATCCGAATGAGGCTGATATTACTGATGATAATTCGGCGGACGAAACGACTACTCCGTCATTTTGTGTGTTGCTACACGGAGCTTTAAAAGTTGAAAATATGGCTGCATTGGTTACTGTTGGGCTCAACTGGTTTGGCTTCATCTATTCGTGGGCGGATTCCAAAAAAAAGAGCAATTTAATGATTACCATATTACCACCCGGATCCGATGTAATACCTTGGTAAGTTTACCTCATGACTACTATGTTCAATATATATTTTGATGATATTTCGATATTTAATTTAGGGATTTATGCCTGTAAAAATAAGTATTTTAAAATGATTAAATAACACTCAATCTCACAATCAATAGGCTCGGAGATTTAAACGATCTGGGAACTGCAGACATGTTTTCCCCAGATCAAGTGGGCAGTTTTCCAATAAGACCGTCTGAAAAGAGAAGTTACTCGCAGAATGGGGTCGTGTGGATTAGACAAGCAGGATTGCAATCTGATATTCAGAAAATCTTGCGCCATGCCAGAAAACTCCCAGACAAGACTCAACAGTTTTACAAAGCAAGTATTGTAAAGAGTGCACAGTTGTGCAATTTTAGAGAGTTTTAAGAATATGATACACAGTTTTGAGAATATAATACTTATGTTATAATATGCATAATGTATACAGGGTGTCCCACGAATAAGGCTGCTCGTAGCTCGCAAAATACAGTTTCAATAATTCCGAAATATTAGGACCTGCAAAAGCGGTTCTGCTTTATATGTATATACAGAGTTAGTTTTCTTCGATGACTAGTACGTGAATCTTGGAAACTACAGCAGATACCAAAAAGGTTAAATGGACAAAGAATTGCGGTTTTGAATGCTCGAACGAAACTAATTCGCGAGTTCAACTACCGTTGTCGAGTGACAGTTGAGACGTGTCAGACTAGTTTATTTATTGGAGTTGACGACATTTATAACATAAAACAATACTTACTTTTCGATCTGTTTCTATTTCTTTAAAAGCTTGCAAAAGTTGATTAGAACAAATCAAAACAAATCACAATCAGATGTAAACATTAATGTGACACCAATGTCAATAAAACAAGTGTCAAAATAACTTATAGTTATAATTTTAGCCTCCAGGGGCCGTCTGTACTTTTAAACTCGCGAACTAATCTGACAGGAAAACATTAAATGGAAAGTTTTAGAAAATTGCATTTCAAATAATTTTTATACCGTTTTTACAATAAATTTCTAACTTGAATTTTTTATTTAATGTTTTCCTGTCAGATTAATTTTGACGGAACTAGGAGTCATTTAAAAATCTGCCATTAATTAGTTTTGTTCACATCTGTAGTTTCCAAGATCCCTGTACTAGTCATAAAAAAAGACATCCTGTATAAAACAAGTTTTTTAAGTGGCCCAATCACAGATAAATAACCCCCTTTCCTTCTTTTAAAAAAATTCCCCCCTTTTATCCTCGGAATCCGCCGTGAGGCATTACATCGAGGTAATACGATTTGTTCCATGTACATTTGAGAGCCAAAGGTTGATCAAACTAGTTCCTCCAAGGTACTGTGGACGGAGCTGGTAAGAATGTCCTTGCTCGTTATAAGTTCGGCCTGCTTTCTACGGATTGTGTCGCACTTCTGCTGGTAACAAGTATGTCGGGTGTTTACGCTTGGGTATTTCGGGTCTCCCTCCTTCTCTGCCTTGATCTTCATTATCTCTGTAAACATACCCCTGATTGCGTCCCAGCATGCCTTGTTCTCCACCATGACCCCCCCTATGTTCTGAATAGTTTAGATTTAGCTTTTGGCAGGTTAGCTCCGCTTGTATCCTGGTCATCTCGAATCTTGCGCGCCTGAACAGGGTGTGTTCCGGCGTCTCCTGCTCACCACAGAACCAGCAGTTGTCGTTTGCTTGCTTCTTTATTCTTTTTAGGTAGCTCCCGAAGATCCCGTGGCCCGTCATAATTTGGGTGGTATAGTAGTCGACTTCCCCAAATTTGCGTTCTGACCAGGTAGACACGCTCTTTATGAAGACCTTTGTCCAGCCCTCATATCTGCTCCATCGGTCCTGTCAGGCCCTCATTGTTGCTTCCCTAGCATTGGTCTTTTGTTCGCTTCCAGATAGCTGCGACTCAGCCTACTACTACTACAGCACCAGCAGGTCGAAAGGTATCATCCCTGCGATTGCCTCTACAGCTGTTGTAGGCACTGTTCTGTAGGCCGACGTTATCATGATTGCGAGCCTCCTGTTGATGCCAGCAATAAGGTCTGAGTAGTGCTTGAATTTTAGGGTCAGATGCCACATTAGGACTCCGAACAAGGAGGCAGATCTTACGGTCCTGGCCAAAGTGCGTCTTTTGCTGGCTTTGGGTCCGCCCACTCTGGGCCTGAGTCTGTACAGGAGAGTTATCATTTTGTTTGCCTTTTCCGCCGTTTTCCTGATGTGGGTTCTCATTTTGACATTTCTGTCTATGGCGGCTCTCAGGTATTTTACGTGATCAGAGGTGGCGATGGATCTCTCTCCTGCTTCCAGGACGATGCTTGTGACCTTTCTTGGCGCTATCAGCAAGACGGACTCAGTTTTCTCCGGAGCTACCCTAATGTCAATGTCCTCTAGCGTTTCAGTTACTCGCCGGATTGCACTTACCGCTCTTTCTTGGACGATTTCCACGGTTTTTTCCGTGACGACCAGCGCTAGGTCGTCAGCATATGCGATCATCTCTATCCCCCGTCCAATGTCCGCCTTTAGAATTTGGTTGTAGAAGACATTCCACAGCTTGGGTCCCAGTATGAAGCCCTGCGGCACGCCGCATGTTACCGGGAATATCTCCCCATCCGTGGTGACTATCGCTCTATCCCACAGGTAGGACTTGACGATTTCAACGATGTACCTGGATATACCGCCATCCGACAGAGCCTGCAGTATTCCGTCCCAGGGGGCAGAGTTGAAAGCGTTTTGTACGTCCATTAGGATCATGATACAAATTCCCCTATGCTGGTACGCTTTTTCTTTGCTTTTGTCAGCTAGCTCCTTTATTTTTAGAAGAGCGCTGGTAGTTGACTTCCCCTTTGTAAAACCATATTGGTTTGTATGCTCCAGACCCTTTTCCCTCATTTCCTCTTCGAGTCTGTTTTTTAAAAGGGCTTCGAAGATATTCCTTACGTCGTTGATTAGGCACAGCGGTCTATAGGTAGTTAGCCCCTGCGGGTCTTTTGGGGGCTTTTCTATGAGTACTAGCCTGGCCCTTTTCCAGGCTGCCGGGAATTCTGCCTTCTGCAGGCACTCGTTTAGCACATTCAGGAACACCATCGGGGTTTCTCTAATGCACGCTATTAGGACCTTCGATGATATGCCGTCTGGGCCTGGAGCCTTTTTCTTCTTCCTTTCTTTCAGGATTGCGTACAATTCGTCAATACTGAAAGGGGGAGTCTCGTACCGCTTTTTGGGTCCCGCTTCTCTGGGCGTTAAGATATTTTTCGGAAATAATTTTTCTGTTTGTTGTTTGGTGGTCTGCTGATCCGGGTACTTTCTGTGCCTGAGGTTGAGTCTTTTGGTGACAATTTGATATGCCTTTCCCGAGATGTCCTTTTCCAGCTCTGCACATAGTTTCCTCCATTTGGTCTTTTGCTCAAATCGATTTCCTTTTTGAGAGCCGACTTGTTGCGTTTATGGTCCTCCGTGAGCTCATGGACTTGCTGGTCAGTTCTGTGTAGCACCTTAAGTTTCTCTGATATTTCACCATTTGCTTTGTCTTTAATGTCCGGATTTTCGTAGCACATGGTTCTCAGGAGTTCCTCGTCCGAGTATCCCTTTGCTACGCCTGTCAGTTAACCTTTGGATTTTGCCTTAATATGCTTTTCGTTTTTATTTCGGAGCTAGGGTCGAGGTTCCGTTCTACCTTTTCTTGTTGTTCCTTATTTCTGTGTAGACTATGGCTATCTTATTGCTCCTAGTTTCGGTCATGCTTACAACTCCCCTCGTGGCTGACACCACTTGCTGTGCGGTTTCTTTTATTTTACAATCTGTATCAAAAGCTTAAGTATTTTATATATGCTAAGTAGATTATGATTTTTGACAACTGCAGAGTATTTCGTCAGAACTGCATTGTTATAAAAAATGTAACTATTTCCAAAACCGTCAGAGATAGAGATGAAACATCATACAGAAAAAGTGTTTGCAAAAACTTAAATTCTCAGTATACTTAAGGCGAGCTATTTCAATTAAGCAGCTACAACTACGTCTGGTATAACCAAAGGTGTCACATTTTTTTCAAATTATCTTAGATGATATTAGAATATTTGAAACCACATATTTAGTGCACTGGAACACCCTGTATTTGCACACCTAAATCGCTCTAATTGAAAATTGTAATTATATTTCAGGAATTGAACAGGTTACGAAAAGCTGCTGTTACCTTAGGTTTTCATGAGTTATTAATTGGTTTGGCATTCATTTTTGAGCAAGAATGTATGCAGTTGCCCGGAACGGCTCACCCAGACTGTGCCCTACAATTGCATCACGCTGCAGATATGTTGCGAAAAACACAAAAGATGGACGTTAAATATGTATTGATGCCCCTACAAACTACGTATAATACATGATAGTTTGGGAATAGTTCGGAAAAGAAGATGCCTTATGATAGACATGTTTTTTAATGTAAAATGTAATTGTACATTTTTCATCTTATTTGTGGACGTTTGAGAAATGTTAACTTACACCCCTCAGAGTTGCTGTTTTGTTACCTGTATCATGTCTGAAATTATTGAAAATTGTTAGTTTTTAATGGTCCGATGGTTTCTGTTAATAAGTAATAGTTCGGCAATTTTTTTTGTATACCTGAATTTCAAAATGTTATTAGCAATTTTATCATTTTAATTTTACCTACTTAATATTTACAGATARGGAAAAGTAARCATAGACAAAGAACTATGGATAGATATTAAAATAGTACAAGCAATAKAAAGACATTATGTTTGCGMTGTGTGTATGAAAGTTGAGCGTGCGGAATGGTTTGCTTYRTCTTTATGCTTYTAGCCTCAGCGCAGATTTGTTGTTTTTTATTTTGGTCGCGCTGCTTTATCGCAAGACTTGCTGCGCAGTTTATACCCCCTCATCATATAATCAATCAGTATTGTTAAGTAAGAGATGGAAGTATGTATCGTGCAGATTAATGCGTCATTTTTCAAATAAAAAARAACAAAAACATGAYAATGTTTAATAGCAAACTAAGTAATTTTAAAAGCTCCAAAGGCAACAATTACAATCAWCAATAAAAAGTTTGTTTTAATAAACTGTTATTCCTGTSGCATTCCGTACCTTGGAAGGGAACCGTTGGAACGTCCTCCCCATAGTCGCGGTTTGTCCCCTTGTGACTCTACTTGGACGTATGAAGGAAGTGCTTGGATACCAGCGTTTTGACAACGTTCAAGCGATAGAGGAGATTATCGCTACGTGAACCTCCGAAGATCTACGTTGACGGAATTAAAAAAGCTCTCAATCGCCGAAAAAATTATTA